TTCTCAAAATTTTATAAAGCTGTAGAAAAGAGCCTGACAAGGCTTGCGCCCAGAAAATGGCAAAAATAAAGAAAGTCAAGTCGCTGGGCAAGATAACATGATATTTCACGAGCAAACGATATCGCGGAAAACTTGCTCACCTTGGGACTTTATCTTAAAAAAAATATTGTAATCCAATTTAAAACAAGGTAAAAAACCACGAGTCTTTATACAGAAACCCTACCTGAAAACTTGCAGTGCCGTATTTTGAAAACCCTACAAAAAGATAACGTCTGATCGAGCGTGCATTTTTACCAGATATATGTATGTATGTATCCTAATTATTGTAGTAGCGCCAACCCTTGAAACATTTCGTAGGCTATTTTAGAGGATGCCCAAAAATCCGGGGTTTTCGAGGAAAAATTCAGTTTTAGACATCCATGCTACACTTTGAAGGAAAACTAAGGTGATATTGAGAATCAGCTTGTCGAGCTGCATCGAGCCATATATATATATAATAGGTTTAAAGAAACTTTTGACCCATTTTCTACGCAGATCTAGGCCCGAAACCCTGCCGTTTCGGACTTTGAAAACTTTACGAAGGGGTCATGTCTCATCGAGCTGGAATTTTTACTAGATACGCCTGGACATGTATCCTAATGATGGTAGTAGCACCAATTCATGAAATTTTTTCTAGGATATTCTACAGAATTTCCAAAATCCCATGACTTTTTGTCAGAAATCCGGTCTTACGCACCTATGTTATACTTTGAAGAAAAACGAAGGTGATATTCGGAATCAGCGTATTAAACTACATCCAATTACATGTAGGTCAACATGCTTTTACAAAAAATATTTTGAAAAAAAAGGCTGGATGCCCACAGCCATCTTTGGTCGAAAAACGTTTTTCTTGAAAAACTCTATTATTTTCTTAAAAACGATTTTTTGAGTGGTATACTATTATTACTAGTCAAATGAAAGCCAATTGTGAGCAAAAAAACGCATGTTCGCCTGCTTATGCTAAAGCTCCCCACTGTGCTGTAGTCATTTATTCTTCCTTTTCCTTCTTGTCTCTCTCGTTCTTCGTCTTCTTCTTTATCTACAGTGTTATTTGAACTGATTTCATTGTACGATCTATTGTATCTGTTGTTGTGACGACTAGATAAATCTCCTCTCTTTGTTTGCGCTCTGATATCATGTAATCTAGTAACATGCCTTTCTGTCAAATATATATATGTGCGGAGCTAGTAAACATCGACGTGCCATCCGTAACTCACGAACGTAACTGATTTCTTTAAAAAAAGTCGTGACCGTGACCAGATACTGGTCATGGCTGGTCACGATAAATTTTCATGCAGTCATATAAGGGCTATTTTCTAATTGGGCTAATTCGCAACGAAGAAATATAATCAATACAATGGTTTGCGACATAAGATAGGGCAAGAAAGCGATACTATGGACCAGGTTGCAGCACAGACAATACGAAGAAAAATGTGTGTATAGAATCAAACTAACAATTGCATACTTGCTTTATACACTGCATATACGACCCTGTTTTCATTTCGTGTTTTAGAGTATACAGGCACAGAGACCTGCAATCTTAATAGTAGGCGAGATAAAACGTCAAAATACGAGCACATATAATTTAGAATTTTTATGGTACTTTACATTCTTATACGATTGTTTTCGACTGTTTGCACACTTCGTTTTCGTCATATTGCAATAGAGAGAAGAATTATTAATACCTTTGAATGCGAACAACTTGCCAAGCATAAGCTTCTGTGTAGAAAATGACTTGACAATTGGTGAATTTTTAGTACAAATCAGAATTACACACATACCAGCGATTGATTGATTGAGCAGATCAATCGAACTCGCTTGTTGATTTGAGCCTCGGCATATATTTCAATAATCATCATCTAAATAAGGTGCTCAAAGCGTTCCATTCATCGTTTTATCGTTGCTCAGAATTGATGCTGACTGAGTTTAATTATTAATGATTGTGAACAAAGACTTTTTGAAAAGTGCTATTCCAATGACATAGATCTGCATCGTATTATTTCAGCGTTGCACATCATAAGCGACTTCTCTCATTCTGTGTATCCTTGTTATCAGATTATTCAACCGACATGAGTCCAAGCACGTTTTTGATTTGTTGTCTAATCCATAAAAAATGAAGAACACTTCAGACCTATCGCCAGGCATAATCACTGAGTGTGGGTACAAGAAATGAGAACACTCGCATCCTAATTTGTTCATTCATAATTATTCATCAATTATTTACTAAAAAATGGATACTGGTGAGAGGATAAGAATGCATTTATTTCTTCTAGCAGAAAAATATCTATCTAATAAATCGTATTTGAGGATCATTCAGGAATTACAATGAGACTATGCACTTGATCAAGCGCTGCGATGGTGCACAAAAATCTGGCTTTCTTTTTAATTTATTGAACAAAGCACTTTGTTATCAGATTGTTGATTGGTTCTTTCTTCTTAAATTCTTGATTCGTCATGTTGAGAAACAACTCAAACAGCATAAACTGAAAACGCCATTTGATATCTATTAAGCTCAGAAGATATTGAATAAAAAACTTGAAATTTTGAAAAAAATTATTGGGAAACTCATTCCGATAAATTCTTTTTTCCGACAAGCCTCAATCTTGAAGTAGCCTACATTCTCTTCGGTGATTCCAGTAGCTTGAATGATGATATAATGGGTGAGACTGATTAAATGGCGGATCTTTTATAGTTGCTGTATGGTTTTATGGACTTGCAAAATAAAAGTAAATATTACACTAGATGATATCGCTTGAAAATCGCTATCCGTTCATACCCAATTCATTCTCTTATATTCTATTCGTTTCTAGATCGGATATAAAATCAAAACACATCCAACAAGTGATTTTGTTCAAGCTGCAAGCGGAAAAATCATCTGCAGAAATCTCAAAGGATTTATGCAATGTAGTCAGTGAACGAACTGTTCGCAACTGGATGTCAATGTATTTAAAAAATGGGAAAGTTGAGTTAAATACACTACCTGAACCACAGCGAATCATACGAACAAAAAAAATTATTAAAAAGGTCCAGAAACGATATCAACACACAGTGCACCAAAGTGTGAGAAAAATGTCTCGTCAATGTGGCATTTCGTCAGGCTCTTTGGCGCGAATCGTTAAAGAAGATCTCGATCTTCATGGGTAGCCTGAGTGACGTTCGCATACTGGGTGGTCCTTAATAAAAGCTGATATTCGAAAAATATTATTCAGCGACAAAAACTATTTTAAATTGGAGGGCACATTTAATTGCCGCAATGATCGGGTGTACGCAGCTAATTGAGAAGCTACAGATGAAGCTGAAGGTATTCATACAAAAGCGAAATATTCAGGTCAGATCATAGTATGGCTTGGTGGTTGTCGTACAGGACTGATGAAGCCGCTCGTTTTCAAGCCACATGAAACACTCAACCACGACAATTATGTTGACGGTGTCTTGCCGATCACTTTGCTAGAAGAAATGTAGTTAATTGGTAATTATTTTATCTTCCAACAAGACAATGCTACTCTACACACATCTGGCCTTCTACAGACGTGGTGTGAGCAAAATTTTTTCCGAGTTTATCGACAAAAATAGATGACCATCAAACAGTCCCGAATTAAATATTTTCGACACCTATGTTTGGAACGCTGTTGGTCGACTTATGCGCTGGGATAAAATTAAAAATTATCCATCGTTGGCTCAGGAAATTAAAAGAGTTATATCATTGGTATCAAAAGATCACCTGGCGAGCAACGTCGACTCTTGTTCATGTTGTATGCTTATAATTTTAAAGACCAAGGGAACTTAAATAAAAAAATTGTCCTTTCTAAATTTGTGTCTTTTTGCTTGCTCTCTCTAACATTATACTTGATTTTAGAATAAACTTCATTGTTTGCCAAGGAAGCAGCTCTGAATAACCGACAATTTAATCTGCTTCGCCCGTTATAGCAAGTTTTGTTTGAGATTCGTGCTGATCTTCGATGTCATAGTGACAAAGCCTTTGAGCACATCACTTAGCTCAATGTTATTCTCGACGAGGAAGAAATATTGATGATGTTGGATTTCATATTGTGACTAGCCAACATTCATTACAATGATCAAACGTGGATCATTTGCATGGAATTGCAAAGCGATAATAATCACGATTTGAAACCTATCTTCAATCAGAATGAATATGAGTTCTTCAGTGAAGCAAAGACCAATACCGGCCCATATGGCACCATTAGTCAAAATAGATCAATTGAAAGAAATTGAAAAAAAATTGCGTCGTTCGTTCAATGTATTGTCCCCTAATCATTACACCCTTGATTTTCATAACCAGAATCTTGATATAGTGACTGATAACAAAGGAGAATATGATAAAAGCCTCGAGTTAAAACAAAAGGTGCTCGATATTCAATTGCAAAAACTGAAGCCGATCATCTTTGTATTGCCGACGCTCACTGCAGCCTGTCTATTAGTAACTATTATAACAAAGGTGCTTATTTACAAAGCTTGACTAAGGATGAGTGTGAATGTGTAACGTTGCTCTTATCTTCATCAATACCGACACCCATCCATCGATATATTAAAACGAGAGAAAAGTGAATAAAATAAATATTTGAACAAGCAGACGTATATAGAAAGAAAAGATATTCATTGCTGTTTCAGAAGTTTGAATTGTCGAGGGCAATAGCTCAGAATTTTCTAAGGGGAAAGTAAACTATGTTGAATGAAGTGTTTATTATAGTAAATTCGAATTCAAGATGAAACTTCTTCGGTCTCTCTACTGATCTCCACTTCCGTTTCGTAACGAAAAGCGGTCAATCTAAATTTCATATTGAAACTACTCGATATCGGAGTTAATTTATTGAACATATGTTAAAAATGGAATACAACGAGAGTGAACTTGATTATGGTAAATCATTCTTTTGTTTCACTTTATTTCGTATTATTTTATGTGCACGATAAAAAAGATTTTCATCAAAAATAATAAAACTTGATTAACCAAATCCATGATCTCTCGAAGTTGGATTATTATGTGTGAAACCGCCAAATGTTGAATCACCTCCTCCGTAGTCACCTAATAAAATAGCATAACTAGTTCTTTTTATTTATAATTGTTAAGATATTTACCAGAGTATTGATTTCCGAATGTATCTCCTCGAAAAGTGCCAACTAGAAAACAGAGCTCTTAGATTTTTTAAATTCATTTATTTACCTCCATAAGTTTGACCGTATTGATTGTTATTCCATTGAGGCTGATTTTGCTGAGCCCATTGATTATTACTCCAAGTCTCCTGTCCAAGTGGATTGTTTCCATAAATCGGCTGATAGGGCTGGCTATTATTCCAATGTTGTTGATTTGGTAGACCTGCTTGATTAGTACTCCAATTCTGTTGCCCAAACTGATTATACGCCCAAGTTTGCTGATCAAGTTGACTGTTTCCTCCACTAAACTGACTGTTATTCCAATTCTGCTGACCGAACTGATTTTGACCCCAAGGCTGTTGTCCAAACTGATTATTTCCATCGTTGTGCTGATAAAACTGATTATTATCCCACGGTGGTTGACTTGGTTGACTATACTGATTAGAACTCCAATTTTGCTGATTGAACTGATTGTTGGTCCGATTCTGTTGTTCCAACTGATTGGTGCTACAATTTTGCTGATAGCACTGGTTATCACCCAAATTTGGTTGATAGTCTGAACAAACATACAAGTTTTTTCATATCGTAAGCTTAGCAAAGTTATTTTTTCTCGAAGATTTGTTCAAACCCCGAAATATTCAAGAAGAACTAACCTCCTCCAACGTATTGCTGTTGGAAATAGCCGGAATAATTATTTTCATTCATCGGGTAACTGTTTCCTACAATAAAAACCTGTCATAACTCTATTCACTCTAGTATCGAAATTCGAACCATATGTATTTGTAGTAGTGTTGCCATCATCTTCGTTCACATCCTGGATCACAAAATTACTGTCATCATCATCATCATTACTATTACTATACGTAAGGATATTTTGATAGTTCACTGTATCGTTTCTATCCCAGTTTTCTTGGCCAAAGTTGCTGCTATTCAACTGCCGAATAGTCCATGCATCAAAGCAAAGGTCTGAATCTGTCATATATTCATACGGAATATAACAATATCCATTGTCGCCCTGAAAGTATCACACCAAAGAATAACGTTGTTTAATATATCTAAGATTGACATAGATCTAACATCATCAATATTTGTATTTGGGTACGCTATAGGTTCAAGTAGCTATTGAACTATTCTAGTTTGTGGGGAAACAAATTTTTACTGTAGCATACTGTTTTATTTTCATAGATAAAATGCTGCAGTGTTCAGATTTCGAGAACGTGAAATTTTCAAAGTTTCATCCATTTCAGTAGCACACTTTCAGAAACTTTGCTCTGTAAGACTAGAAACGTAACTTAGAAGTTATCAGGTGAATCTATAATATTATTAAATATCCGAGTTTACTTGAAAATTTGACACATTTTACCAAATTCGTCGATGAATTAAATTCGAAACAGAAAATTCATGAAAAAAAATGAAATGCATTATTTCATCTTTGCATGATCAAAGGCAAGCTCGTCAACTTAGTTCTTTTGGATTCGACACGAACTCTAAGTAATTCTTAAAGCAGAATCTCTATTAGGATACTGTTCAAGTCGATCCAGTCTGATCTGACTACAATTCGACGATTGGCACGAGGCTTATGTACACAGATCTGGGAGAATATGGCAAACTAATTTCTATTCGAATAGTTATTCAATGAGAATTTTAACCGTGCAGACTGATAGTTAAAACTATGAATACTTCAAAGTAACGGTCACGAATGCAACTAGAGATGTAAGCCATCCAGCTGCGCCGCCACCGATTTTTTTCCAAAATCAGCCGCCGCCATGGAAAAAAATTGGACCATTAAAACAGCCGCCGCCGTTTGATCCTTCGGCTTACACCTCTAAATATAACAGCTACTCTAAAGTTCAAACTTAATTCTATTCGCCAAAAAAAAGTACATTTAGCGAGTCAAAATACGGGACTTCACGAATTCTTATCACTAACCAAATACTGTCCGTAGATTATGATAGTATGGCAAGGCGGGAAAGACGTACTTTGTACTTGAAGTTAATTTGTGCTAGTTCACAGCTCTTTGGGCTACTTTAAAGTACATTGCTCTAATTTGCTCTAATTTTAAAGTACTTTATCCTACTTTAGATTAATTTAGACGTTACTTTACTCTTCTTTACTGTACTTAGAAACCGCCGTTTCCCCCTTGTACTATGGTGTACTCTACCTCTCTGAAATGCTGAAACCAGGATGCAAGCATTGAGTGACTTGTCACTGAAGTATATTGAAAACTTTTTCAAACAAAAAAGATCTGAATTCACTATGCTTCAAAAAAGTTCTTTAACTTGTGTCTACGGAGTCATATTACAATAGGAAAAATAGTTGTTTTCTTCACTTCTCACAATCATTGATAACTGTGTTAAACTATTCAGATCGACGAAAACGACACTCACCCATTTTTCTCCCCATGAATTTCGGACAATAAACGCTTTTGATCGATCACTGTAACCCACCGCTAAAAGCGCATGGCTAAACAAAATTCGGAAAATCAATTCTATGATCAAAGAATTTGTGAATAAAACAATGCTACCTTCCGTGCGCCTTTCGTTTACTCTCTGATGTATTCGCCATTGGTACTAAACCTGTTTCAGCTGCTTTATCAAACGATGAATAAAGTCGTAAACCGAATGCAAATGGATATCCTTGTGCGAGACATGATTTCATTTCAAATAGATTAATATCAACTTTGAGTGCTTCTGAAATTGTATGAGTTTTAGCATCTCGATAAGCTTGATCATTTGGACGTGTGTTTACTTTCGAAATATCATATGCCCAAATGGATTCGAGACAAGTACCAAATTCTTCGAGCGCCTCAATGGTACTTGCCATCGAACAGCCAGAATCAGTGACAGAACCAAATTTTTTATTTTTTGCACGGGCATTATAATATATAAACAAGCGGCTCACATCGGTATTTCGTCCATCGTGCTTTTTCGTCAAATATTCGTACGCTCCTAAGAATGCATAAATGAAAAAGTTCGTTGACAAAACTGTGCATCTTCTTTCTTACCTGCTAAAGCATTTGCCGAGCTGCAAAAAAAGCATAACAATGAATATCAATAGAGTATATTATAGAAATAATTACCAACTGCCGATTTTCGACTGATCTTCAACTGGAGTCATATCTCTTCGAAGGTCAACCTTAGGAGGAAGTTGATTTGGCGTATAGAGTATATTATCATGAAAGGCTTTACATAAGTTACGCTTGCTTGGCAAATGATTCGATGGTAAAATACCGTTTAAACGGTGTTTTTGAGCATTAATTTTGTTGACTAAATAAGTTTTAATGGTCATAATTTAGGATAATGATGTGTTGATTTATGAACTGAGCATTTTTTGTAGGGTGGTTTTTTCTACAAAAGCTAATACTGAAGTTTAGTAGTGGGACGCTTAATTGTTGTCGTTTCTTTCTGTCTATCCTGACAACTCACGTCGTTTGTTATTTTTATACAAAAAAAACTCGTGCCGAGTCACTTGAAGCCTTCTTTTTTCTCCTCTTCGCTACACAATATGAGTAAAGTAGAATCAATATAAGAACAAGAAAGACTGCTTAAAATAAAATATGGAGTATACACTCAATGGAGAAAACTCAAACCTATCAAATCATTTTACTGTGGAGTCGCCAACCAAGGACGCATTTTTTTAAAGAAATTGTTCGAAATCTAGAATAGCTCTATGATAAGATTCTATGCCCCAACCATTTTATAAGAACTCTGTCGTAGACAATAAGTTGACAAAATTAAAAAAACAACAAATATTTTTTTGTCAAGATTTTCTGCTGATCAAAGTGACATGTTTAGTAGAATATATTGATGAAAGTACCACTACCAAATGTATACTGGTCTGTCAGAAAAACCAAGGCCAATCAGTTTCCAATGATAATTATTCAGAGTTTTCAGAATCAAAAGAATATTTTCTTGATTAGTATGTTTTGCTATACTGGATATCTCGGAATTGTTTTTAATATCTTTGATGTGTTCTTTAATTCTAGTTGATTTTTCACGATTTATTTCTCTTACATAGCATTTGCTACAGTGTAAATGTAAACATGCAACTCTCTATATTGTTTTTTTTGTCTTATTCGACTGAAAGAAATATACTCTTTAGACTAAAGTTTTTCTTAAAAGCAATTTTAATCTGCGTCAAGGGCAACAGTAATCTAACAGTATATTTTAACTACTGTAGAGAAACAATGAATGCTTGACCATAATATAATACTAGAAAATTAAGTGTATTAATGATGACAGTTTGTTGATCCGCTTCTTCTTTCTTTGGTATATTCTTAACTATTACTTTTGCTTCGCATATTTCTCGTTTTACTAAATGTAATGAATATCCGTTCTTGATTAGTGTTCTCTTCGTCTAATCTAGTTCTACTCTTTTGAGTGCATCATTACACCATATGAGCAAAAATTCTGATAACTAATATGCTGAGTAGATCGATGCTATATTAACAACCCTGATTACTCTCATTTAACGAGCACAAATTAGTGCTAGCTGGTTTAAGATATATTGTTGTAGTATATTTATTAATATTTATCTGTCGAGTAATTAGAATACCTAGAAATGTTAGCTGATTGTTTTGTTCGTATTCAATCGTGAATTTTACGTTTTCGGGACGCCAAATATTGAGGCAAACAAGAAAATCGTTGATATACTGAGATTTAGTAATTACAGAAAAAGTATCATCTAAATAACGTAAACATAAAGCAGTTTTGTTCTTTAAAAGAATCTGTTTCACGTCTTTGCTAATTTAGATATGAACGGATTGACTAGAATGGGTTCTAACAAGGAACTTATTGCCACTCAACCAGCTTATATGTTATATATAAATTGTTGACATCAAAACTAAACATTGCATGACTATTATTGTTGCTCGCAATCGGAGGGCGTATGCTGTTGAGCACAAAAATTGACCATGTTCAGGTCAAATGATCACTTTCACCGAGAAACGAACGAATTTAAAATATGAGCTACTGATGACGTACAGCATATAGATATTCTATTTTTAAGTTATGCATTATTTGGGTATAGAAGCATGACAATGTATGAACTCTTCACATCAACTTTTTAGCATAATCATCAGATTTTTTTATGAAGCGAGTGTTCAAAACCTTGACGAAATGTATTAACAATATTTAGGCCTCTCTAGATACAACTTCTTCTGTAGTTTAATAATATCCAATAGGAGATACATCTTTTTTTATATATAGAAATCCGCCACTCATCAATACTTTTGACTTTATTTTACGTGAAATTAATAAATTATACAAAATAATATTTTAAAAGATGTACTATAGGTAGGGACGGAGATGTTCAATCAAATGATAATAACGAAGATGTTTTTTGCACCAAGCGCAAATGAAAAGGATTCGTTCTTCACAATTAATAACCTAACAATAATGGTCATAGAATTTAAAGCAAACATCCTTTGGTTTGTTGATTTCATCAATTGTTTCGTTGAGTATCTTAGTTCGCACGAATCCAGACTGTATAAGATTTTTGAATTGTGAAGCAGATAGTTGATTGAGAATAATAGAATGCATATTTATGAAATATTGACGATCACTCATATTCATTTCTGTTCGATTGATATGAATATAATGCTCGATTTTCTCATGAATAAATCGCCATGAACGAAACAAGGACAGATCTTACGGTTGAATATAACCAGTTGATCCTTTAGGAAAAATCAATAATTGACTATCTTGATGTAGATATATCGCTCTAAATCTTTTAGATCAGCTTGAGTTGTCCAACAATCAAGAAAAAGAAGACATTTTCTGCCAACCAAAGGACGCAGAACTTCATTTGAAATAGTGTGATGTTTTTCATCATTGCTTTTTCCAGATTTTGAAGCTCGTACTACGACATTTGGTGGGACAATTAAAATTTTCTCTACTCTTTTACCGAATGCATTTTGCTTTTTCTGAAGAATGAGGAAGAACTTGTCTAATAGCTGATCATCAGCTGATGTAACAGATTGCACGATATAAGAGTGCGTTGTATTATTCTTCCTTTTAACAGCAACTTGTGCTGTTCTTTCACCAGTGAAAGAGAGAGTTCCTAGAGCAATATATTCCTGTTGAAATGAACAATGGTCACTATTTTAAATTTCTTGAGAAGAATAATTCAAAATTAAAGATCTTTAACTTTCAATCCAGTCGTGAGCATCTAAAATATACGAATATATCACATTCAGACAGATATACTAGAATCTGAAGTCAAACTTGATGTACTTTTCAAACTATATATTTTCCTGGTGGAAGAAGCTCGTGTAATCAGTCTGTTGTACCTTCTTGATGAATTTCGATTTTCTCTCTTGAATACCTTGATACATGTTTCACCTGCTTTGAAATTTTTCCAATTTAGTATTCTTGCTTTTTGAATTACAAAAGTTCTGGATCAGTATCATGAATTTCTTCTTGTCTAATTGCTTTTTTCACACAAGAAACTTGTTCCACATAAATTCTTTGACTTGTTTTTAGTTTTTCTAATATTGTGCCGTTCTTTTTAATCTATTCTCTAAACCTTGTAATATAATGCATGTATTTGACTTTTCGGAACCTACTCTGAATAGTTGCAAATTTATAGTTTGGATGTTGATCAATCTATTCCACTATGTCTTCCATCTCTTCTAATGTAAAATTATTTTGAATATTCAAGTATTGATTTTCATCATAATCATCAATAGTATCTTCTTCATCGGCTGATTCTTCTTCATCAATGCTGTCTCCTTCGTCGGTCATTTCATCGTATTCATCATGAAAATCGAGAGTTTGGTAAGTATATAGTTCATTAAAGTAACTATTTTTAAATGTCTGTAAATTTTCGAATAATTGTTGTGAAGCGAAAATTTCATCAGCGCTTATTGTTGAATCTTCAAAGAAAAATTCTGTTTGTGTCAAATGGAGAAGATGTTTCGCCATGTTCAGTAGACTCATATTTTTAGTCACTGAGGTCATTTTTTTCAATTGTTAGCCGTGGCGAAAAGTACAAGAGAATGTTACTTCGAATGCGCCCTTGATTGAGACTTCCAAACACAAATCATGAAGGAACTGTTAGATCCTTTTTCACTTTTATGTTTGATCACCTTTTATGCACAATCCAATATCGCAAAACAACCGCCAAAAATGAATAACTCGAATAGAATAGAATGAAACCAAAAGTATAGAATGAGTAGAGTGAATGGATGAATTCTAAGAGAAACGACGGGATATATTTATACTTGAGATTGAACAAGAAAGAACATTCCGCAAAGAAAAATACATTAGTCAGAACAAGAGAGATATAGATTATGACAATGACAGATGTGAACAAGATCATGGCGTCATGTATAATATACAGAGATGGAAAAGAGAGGGATAGCTTGCGCTATCCATGCATGTTACCAGAAGAAAAAGAGGAGAATGAAAGATAAAATACATGTATAATTGAGTCATACCACCACGTTCATACTTTCCTCTTATAGCACGACTCCAGTATATACCATACCAGAAGCATATTTTAAATAATAAAGTGATGCATAAATGCACTTAATTTTCTGAAACCTTCCATACGGACACTTCAAATACAATATTGGTTCTTTTTCAATTCGGTACTGTTAAACTACAGAAGAAGTCGTATCTAGTGAGGCCTACAAATTGTTAATAAATTTCGTCAAGGTTTTGGAAACTTGCTTCCTAAAAAATCTGATGATTATACTAAAAAGTTGATCTGAACAGTTCATACATTATCATGCTTCTATACCCAAATAATGCATCACTTAACAATTGAATATCTCTATACAGGTACTCCATCAGCAGCTCATATTTTAAATTCGTTAGTTTCTTGGTAAAAGTGATCATTTGACTCGAAGATGGTCAATTTTTGTGCTCAATAGTACACGCCCTTCCATTGTACGATACTAATCTTCGTTAGTGTAAGTATTTTATGTGTTTATCTTCATTTTATTCGGTAGAAGAAAGCGAAGAAGCCCAGAACAGCTGTACTCTGTTTTGACAACAACAAAGTGGTTCAGTAAGCCATGAGTCGATCATCGTCAGAAGCAAGTGTTGTTGCGGTGAAACGCGCACGAAAAGATATGGATGCGAAACACAATAATATATTTTATTTACAACAAATGTCCAACGAATTTTTTCAAAAAATGTTTGTCGTTCTTGGTTTATACGAACTTGTTAATGCTTTTTCTGGCGTCAACAACCGCTACTATTCACTTCTGTCATCTCTCAAAAATGTTAATATCGCAATCAGGATGAATGGCAAAGTTTCTATTGAAAAAACTCCGTATCTACACAGTGCTTCTATCATTTGTCTCATCATTGATGGAGTACCAAATTTCACATTTTGCGTCGACAACGTTAATCAATAGTTGCTGACTCACAATCAAGTTTGGAACCTAAGAACAGTATGACAATGTGCGTCCTGGCTATTTTCTGTCGCTTGAATATTTACAGATCGACGACTGTGAGAGCAATCGTACTCCTTAGAGATTAAAATTTCA